GAAGAAATTTTTCCTAATATCCAATCTAAACCTCCCCTGACGCAGCTTGAGCCCATTTCCTCTCGTCCTATCACTTGTTACTTGGGAGAAGAGACCAACACCCACCTCACTACAACCTCCTTTCAGGCAGTTGTAGAGAGCGATAAGGTCTCCCCTCAGCCTCCTCTTCTCCAGGCTAAACAATCCCAGTTCCCTCAGCCGCTCCTCATAAGGCCTGTGCTCCAGACCCTTCACCAGCTTCGTTGCCCTTCTCTGGACACGCTCCAGCAACTCAATGTCCCCCTCCTACTGAGGGGCCCAAAACTGGACACAGTATGCAAGGTGCGGCCATGTAGTACCATACAATTTTAAAATGATTCTGGAAATTTGCAGAACCACCTATATCTTTGCTGTACATGATAACACTGAACAATTGCCCATTTCCACTCAGCGCTATACAGGCTGCAGCCTACACAGAGGGAAACCCTTTGCCACTTACCTGGCTCAAGCTTCCGTTTTTCTGCTTTTTGTTTTGGATCTGTTTGTTGTGGTCCTTTCTCATTTGCTGATGGTTGTGTTCCTGATGTCTTAGAACTTACTGGTTGCTTATTTTCAGTTGCTGTGCCAGAAGCAGATGAACTGTCTGTATCATCTGCATGGAAGCCATAGTTGGCATGATATGTTGCCAGGAAATCTTCTGTTATCTGAAAAGAAATTAGGAAAATTAATCCAAAATTTCAAAGAACTACAAATTCAGGTTTATAAGTGTTTTAACATTAGTGCATTGATGATGGCCATTTTCTAATCCAGCAACACAGAAAATAACAGTATTTTAAAACTAGTTTTACATCATCTTTGTAGAGCCATATGCACAACAAAACCAATCAGTTCAGACATTACCTGAATTAGACTAACATACTAATTCCATACAGCACACAAAGTTTTTAAACAAATATTTCACAAGTTCTGCCCTTTTTCAAGCAAAGCTTTCTGCTTTCAACATAAATTGGATTTGCCTGAAAGACAGAAACCAAGCACTCCTGACCATGTTGAAGAGATAAAGTGACACTGAAGATAAGCCAACAACTTATCTACAGATGATGAATGACTGACATTTGTAGGCATCTGCCTTTTCACAGAAACATTTTCAGAGATGACTTGTGTTGACAGACAATAAATACTGCACTTAGACAGAGATGTATCTTAACACACTGTTTATAAGGCCGTACACTCTACTTTATATCCTACTAATAGATAAATAATTAGCTCGCTCTTTTCTTGAAAGAGACTATATTTGGATAAAATATAAGATTGGCTAATGTCTATCTTCTGGAGACCAAACAAAAAACCCCACAAATTACACCAAGTATTTCCAGTCAGGTAAATCTGGATACTGTCCACTAGCAATAACATGCAAAGAGATAATACATCATAGCTGATTTTGCTAGCGTCACTGCACTATGAAGTACTTTCTGAAGTTACACGCTCTGAAATGATTTACTCCCAAAGCTAAGCCTTAACCTTTGAAAATTTTATCTGATTCTGACTTGTGCTGCATTTGCTTCACCTGTATTCAAAACGGAACAAAACTTAATGTCATTAAGCTATTGTAAGAGAGTGGCACAACAGACAGTAGCAAGTGTCAATAATAACAATGCAATCTCTTATCTTCTGTGGTGATTTGAAGCTTGATGTTTCAACCCTAAGCTTTTATTATGACAAATCAAAAATGCAGAATTGACAGTAACAGGCTTGTCATGAATAACACAAGATGCTGTGGAGCCCCATATAACTTAAAAGTTTAGGATGAAATAGCTCCTACACTAAACAAGATTTGCAACACACCTCGATCAGGAATGCAAATGGCTGCTCTTATAGACACGACATAACACAATGTCAAGAGAAACGAAGAGTACAACCACCTCTAGTGAAGAAAAGAATACTCCATGTTTTAATAAGGTTCATTATATTTGACACTAGCAATCTTAGCAAATCCTTAGTTTCACAGCTGATGAAATCCAGAGAATTAAACTTTTAAACTTTCTGGTGAAGAGTATTATTCTTTTTCATCAGAGAACCTACTGACAAGTTAGTGATTAAACCTGCAACAACTAGCCACCTTCCTGCAGCAGTATTATTTTTCAACTTCAGGGAAAACTGCATTCTCACGTAAAGCTAAATCTATTATTAACAAATTACCTACAATGGACTGTCAAATTTTACCAGTCAATAACAGATTTTTTTTTTTTCATAATATGCTATCATTCTACCATATATACCATTACAATTACTTCATTTTAAAATGCATTTTTGCAAGCATAAAGGAATTTATACAAGTATAAAGGTTTTTACTGGAACTTTTATCATACCACGCCTGCATGGAAAACAAGCACTCATGGAATTTCTTACTTGGGGCTTCAATCCAGTTCTGGTGGAGCACATCATAGAAAGAGATCAGTTCTGCCTCTATACCTGCACAGTTGTACAGTTTGGGGCAACTAAACTTATAAGAAACACAATACTGCAGGACATGCTAGCATGTAATTAACTACTGGTCACACTGAAATGGAAAGGAATGGAATTTCATTAGCCAAATGAAGAACAGACACCCTATGCTTACAGAAGACATCCAATGTCCGTTTTTCCACAGCAAGTGATGAAGGAAGGCAGACAATTCAACATGTGATTTTGCGCTCTGTCTATGAAGGACTATAAAAAGCTGGCATCCATCAACATAGTACCATTGAAAGAAGTATCATTAAATAATACAAAGTTGCAATCACTTTTATTAAATAGTTGACAGTCTCCAAAATTTTCTGAGGAATGTTGACAGATGATTAACTTTTTGCACTGCTTTGAAATATGCTTTAGAAGTTCAGCAGATACTCTATTGCCAAGCTAGAGTAGCAGTGCACTACTAGTCTGCAGATGATGATTACTTGGCCCAGTCAGAATATTTTAATCTTTTGTCAGAGAACAGAGATAAGGGATTTTATTACTGGAGTAGAGAAAGACCAACAACTTCTGACTCCTGCGGTCTCTTAAATCTATTATGATAAAACACTCTGCTGAATAATTATCAGCAAAATAAAGTAACCCGAGATACTATTATACCTAGCTCAGTGACCTATCTATAACACATAGTGCTTCACAATGATTCTTTACCAACTTCTACTATACATCATATTTAGTAATGAACTTTGCTGTTCCTATGCAATCTGTCCAACCCTTAATGTTATCTCCTCTCCAAGATGGAAATTTGAACTAAGAAAGGCATTTGGGAAAGACCAATGCTCTTGAGAAGAAGAGATAAATAAATAAAAAAAAAAGAACCCTTTTAAAAGTTACTGGGCTTATGGGATATAGCACTTCACAGGGAGCCAGGGATACTCACTTCTCCACTGCTCCACTTTGTGAGTCTGGATTTTTCACATGTTTTTACCGCTCCGTAAGCCGTCTGCCGCACGAACACCTTACTAGGTGTATACACACATATAAGCAGGACAGGCTTTATTCTCACTCGGATTCTCTTGAATTGCAATGAATTCAGGGTCACAAATAAGAACTGGCACACTAAATTTATCAAGTAGACACTACAGAATGTCTTAATATTTGTAAATTAATTGCCCTCATTCACTGTTATATAGTAACAAAAATTACTATTTCACTTGCAGGGCAGTAGATTGGCTCAACACGTTAAATCTATGTTCCCTCTCACCTTGAAGAGCCACATTGTCAGAGCAAGTTTGGTTTTTATACTTAAAATATTTAATAAAAAAAACCTGTAACATGTTTCCATTCTGTGGAATGCCTCTAAGCCAAATACACTTAGTTTTCAAGTGCATTTCCAAGATCTAAGGAGAGAGAACAAGGCATCTTTACACATGCACCATTTACGAATAATACAGCAGAGGGATGGACCACTCCATTTTCACCTAGACCTCTTAGCAGACCAGTTCATTTCTGCACTGCCAACAGAAAGACAAAGATCGCCACAGCTTCTGTGATTAAAAAAAAACCTAAACATGTCAAAGGCAGCACCGATTCGTTAAGATCCACAAATATAACCATGATTTCATGCCAGGCCTGAGCAATTCTACAGACTCGCAGCCAAGGAGAAAAGCCAACCTACAGCTCTTCACAACAAAAGAGCAGAAAGCAGCCGGTCAGGTTACAGATGGAGGCACCGCCAGCTGCCGTGGTTTTGCCTGTAAAAAAAGACCGTTTCGGTGCCACAGAGCCTTTGCAGCAGACATCTATTTGGCTGAATCCAGACAAGCGAGACACCTCAGCGCCCAAGAGACCCAACATCAACTGTTCTTCTTTCTCACCCTTCGTTCTTCTTTCTCACCCTTCCTCGGGGAAGCTTCGGCATGCCCCGGGGAAAGAGCTGCCCCACGGCGGCCTGCGGGCGGAGGGAGCGGCACCCCG